AATAAAGTAATATTTCATTATTAGAAACATGTGTAATAATTATTTTGATTGTGCTTTATTCTCATGAAGCATGTATAACCATAACTCACCCTGTAGTCACTGGCAGTAACGTAGAAAATAGGCTGGAAAGCAAGCCAGATGATGCAGGTGGTGTACATGGTGAACCCGATAAACTTGGCCTCGTTGAAGTTCTCGGGGCATTTGCGGGTCTTGAAGGCATAGACCGTGCAGAGGATAATGAGGATGCAGTTGTAGGTGAGAGACATGAGCATGCTGGAGTCCTTGCTGTTACACTTGAGGGTGACCACGTCACTCCTCTTCGGACTCACTTCTTTTCTTACTCCTGGGGCCTCCACCAGCAGCCAGACCACCACCACTACCAGCTGGCATGAGATCAGTGCACCACAGATGGCAACCTGGGAGGCTGGGCTGATGAATCGAGGCCGCTGGGCTCCATCCTTCACCCCGCTAAAGATCCGAGCGATGCGATTGGTCTTGGTTAGGAGGGCTGAGTAGCACACAGCAAAGGAGGTGCCTAAGCCTAGCCGGCGCAGTGTACAGACTGCCGTGGACGGTTTGGCGATGTAGATGAAGGTCATGCTATAACACATCAACACTCCCAGCAGAAGAATGTAGGAGAGCTCACGTCCACTGGCCTTCACTACGGGTGTCTCATTGTGTTTAAGGAAGAGGCCAATGACAAAGAGCGTACACATCATCCCTAGACAGGAAATGGTGACAGGTCCAATCGCCCAGGCATCTTCCCAGCGGATGTACTCCTCTGGCAGATCGTAACAGCCTGTGAGGTTGGCCAGGGGCCACTGTCCAAAGCTGCAATCAGCACAGGTGAACTCATCCTGCAAATACTGGTAGAGCTGACAGGGGATACAGATCCAGCAGCACACATCTCCAGGCTGCATACTCTTCACTTCGTTCTTCCTGCAGGGGTCACTACACTGGGAGGTTGGTGCAACCTGGCCAGCCCAGGGGATCAGGCTGGTGTTCAGGGTCAGACTCTGAGCCCAGTAGCCGACCTTCTGGTAGACATAGCGTCCATCTTCTTTGTGGTAGTGGAAAATGTTGTAACGGCCAAGGCTGTCCCCGAAGGCATCAAAGCGGACTACATTCTCTGTGTCTGGTGGACGAAATGGTGCTGAAGATGAAAAGAAAACAAGGTAAAAAAAAAAAGGTATAAGAAAGTCAGTGTATAGCGGGTGGAGCTACAATATTGAAGCTGTCAAAGTGAAGTCAAAGCATACGAATTAACATTTGTTTATTCATATTTTGACAGTTGAAATCAGCTGTTTTGGGGAAGGACAGTATCATTTATTTCTTTGCTTATTTATGGCCTTAGCTGACATTTTATTCATCTTGCAGTTTAGACTGAACAATGATGGGAAAGAGGTGCAGATTGTCAATTTATATGACAGAAGACACAGTTTGAGTCTGTTTGCTTTGATGCAAAGGACCGATGACTTGAACAGATGGCACATTATATAAAATAATGTTCAATTTTCCTCATCAAAAGCTTAAATAAACCTCAATTTTCAGTTTTTTAGAAATCATAAATTGACTTTGATAGTAGCTGTGAAAGATTTCTGCGAATAATCTGCAGATTATTCCCTCAATTAATTGATTAATAACTTTCTTAATTTAGGAAAACTGAAAAATGTATAGTTAGTGGTCCACCTGTTTCTGTGTGTTTTCTTCCTGTTTTCTTAGGGCATTGTAGTGCCTGCAGGGACTGACTAATTTAAGGCCTCTCATGCAATCCAGTCTCTGGATAGTAAAATCCTTTGGGTATTTTTTTCACATATTGTAAAAAGCAGAAAAGCACAGCTGGATAAGTTCACATCGCTCCAGCACTATCTCCCATCAATGGAAATGTCAGTATTTACATAAATCGAAGAGTATAAGACAATACAGCTCATTTAGGAAAGTAAGAGCATTTGAATTTTTGGGTCTGTCCTTTGTGATGTGTGGATGTGCCGATGCAAATACTGTTACACATTTTGTGTTGCAGCTTTGTGTAGACAAGCTAAAAAAGTAATATTTGCATCATCACTGTCTGCAGTGTTCAAATTGGAGAGCTCTCTTATTCACATTTAAGCACGAAAAGAAAAAGCCTTCAAGCACAAGGGCGAGGAAATAGTTTCATCTCTGCAAATTGAATCATTACAGATCTTATCTGTAGCTGCAGTGTATAAATTACTCTTGCACTAATTCAACATTTTATATGACTTGGTACGATGAATCTAAATTGATATAACCTAATTCGGCAGCATACACTATGCGCTGAGTGCACTTGAGGAAATTAAATGATATTATATTGGGGTTTTTTACAGATGACAGAATAACGAGAAAAAAGTAGCTGCTTTACATCATGATAATTAATATCACACTGTAATAATATTAGTTCATCAAGATTTTACTCACCATCAAACTTGACCTTGAGAATGTAGTCCCTGTAAAACTTTCTGCCATTGCCAGGTTTAAGAGCATCACACACCTTGGTGGAGTTGGGACATAAGGCCTGCCTCATGTTATGTATGGCAGCAGCTATTGCATAGACAGCGTTGACCACAAACATTATCTTGGATTCTGGCTGAAATGGAGTCTCGCGGAGGGAGTGCTTCCCACAGCCCAGATCATGGAGGCTGCATTGGAACTGATTTTCCCAAAACTCTCTGAACCAGGGATTCCTGGTGTTGTTGTACGGGTGCAGGCCAGTGAAGTAGTCATTAAACTGGGGGATCTGATAGGAGGCCAGTTCAATGGTGAATGCCCCATCGGCCACAGCCTCACTGCCTCTCACTACGCTCTCCTGTGCTCCCCAGCCATCACTGGCCACCCAGGTAAAGGAGACGTTCATGCGGTTGGCTGCCACCAGCAGCTCGCGGGCGTCTTCACTGCGCGTGAACAGGATGACCACCTTGGCATTGGACTTCTGCTGCAGGGAGCGGATCACATTCTCATAACTCCAGCGGCTCATGGAGCGGCTCACTTTGGCTGAAGTGGCAATGCAGATCTGGCGGGCTCGAGCCTCTTGCTGGAAGGCATCAATGCCAGTCTCGCCATAGTCTCCTTCTGATGCCACTGTTGATACATACGTCCAGTTGAAATAACGCAGGATCTCCACCATGGCCTTGGCCTGATAGAAGTCAGGGGGCACGGTGCGGGCAAAGTAGTCATAACGGGTTTTGTCGCTGAGCTTGGCACTGGTGGAAGCGTAGCTGATCTGAGGGATTTGAAAGAGTCGCAGCAGGTTGGCCACCTGGAATAAGCGAGAAACACCAGAATAATTATGTTTGTTGAATCAGCCCTCACACAATATCAATGAACCTTCACTGTAAGTGTTAATATAAATACTACTATGATATATTAGTTGGTAATTAACTTACTACAGTTCACACAGAAAACATACACCTGCCAACTGTGGGAATTGGTTTAATTGCTCATCATTAAATGAATGAATGAAATTGCTACACTACATGGTTTTCCCCCTGCAGATGCAATTAGTCTCACCCCAATTAGTCACTAATTTTTTTACTAGATACCTGCTGAGCCTTTCACAACTCAACTCTCCTACTGACTGAGTGGAGATGTCCTGCATTTAACAATAATGGGGACTGTCTCTCTATCTCATCTCTGCTTATCTGTAGTTAACCAAAATATGTGTACGGAGGACTGAGCGGCCACAGGTGATAGTCACAGTGGATAGAATTTATTGCACTACAAAAACAAACATGTTTTCAGAAAGTTTCTGCTTGTGGAGAGAAGAGAGAAGCAGATGGGGAGAGACAGAGAGGTTGGAGGCAGGGATTGTGAAGTGAAAGGAAGTCAAAGTATCAAGGAATCTTGAAACTTTGCATTTTCTCTGTAATAGGTTTTGTCAGTGTTGTGACACTGTGCGCAGTGTGCAGAAGCAGCTACTGACTAGCTTTTGCTTCAGGCACTTCTGTGGAAGCCTAAGGGGAGCCGGTCTGATCAGTCAAAAGAATGCCAACCTAAATCTGGTTGTCTTTAATGCCGGCTTTCACAACCAGCACACTCATGGCACAACATCTTGAATGCCAATGAATCATTCCTGAAAAAGTCAGGAGAGGAAATTCATATTCAGCTGCATTCACTAAATGTAATTTATCATTTCTATATTGTCAAATTGTGGCTGTATTAGAATAAACATGTCATATTACAAATACTATAGAACTGTGTGCTTTTACATGGGTGAAAGTGAAGTTTTATAAGTATGATTAAAAAAAAAGGTAATTCCATCGCCTCTCCTTTACCCATACACATTTACCCAAATATAGTAACCGTCATGCTAATATATCTACAAATGATGCTGTTGTCGTTGGAGAAGAGTCCCTACATAAACAAGTAGCCCTTTTGTTTTAAGCCAAATCAACCTTTCCAGAGCAATATTATAAGGCCCACAATCGAGAATATATCTTTACTGAATATAAGTCTGAGTAAAAATTGGCCAGTAGTTTTTACATGTGATTGCATTTTTGGCAATAATGTTACTTTGATATCTGATGGAAAACTTTTTCTGTGATGTAACTAGTAATCACATTAAAAGGCATGCACACAGTAGAACCTTAGATTAGATATTTAGTATGATGAGGTCAGTATTTGGCTCTTTAAAGGTCCAGTCTGCAACATTTAGGAGGATCTATTTGCAGAAATAGAATATAATATTCACAGATATGTTTTAATTGGTGTATAATCACCTGAAAATAAGAACTGTTGTGTTTTTGTTACCTTAGAATGCTGTTTTTATCTACAGAGTGAGTGGGTCCTTTTCTGTGGAGTCTGTCATGCTGAACTGCCATGTTTATACAGTAGCCCAGAATGGACAAACAAAATACGGGCTCTACATAGGGCCTTTCACAATTTTTGTGAGTTTCGCAGCCACTGTAGTTTCTCCTACCCACTTGGAATGGAAGGATGAGGCGAGGGAGCTGTAATCTGTGGCTACAGAATCTTCTATACACTGGACCTTTAAAGAGTTTCTTCCTGAATGTAAATTTCTTCCAGTATGCAAATTTCAGGTGTATTGGTCACAAAAAGATGAAGATCAGATTTGGATGGAGAACGGTCTAACAGCCAACATATTCATACATAGATCAAATGTGCCAGCACAGATGAACCGACAGGTCAAGAATAATTAGATATACAGACTCTTCATTGATTAGTATGTATCCCCACTGAAAAAGAGGGAGTGCACTGAGACATTACAATAAATTTAGTGTGATGTGCCTCAATGGATTTTAATCATGGGATCTTTGTTATTCTGCAGGATCAGAGAGATAAATATTAAATGAGCCAATGGCAGTGATTTCCAGACCACTAGCTTCATTGGAATTAATGAGAGAAAGAGTAAAATGAAATGCAACAGCATAAACAAAAGTGACTGGACTACCACCACCCAAACGTTATCATACAGAGGCAATGCTGAACAGATTTACCAGTCTGACATTAGAGCTATTTCTGACTCGTCTGTGGTGTAGTGACTGAAAAAACGAAATGAAAATCTAGATTGTTGAAACACATGAGTGAGCATTTCATATCAGTTCAAAGGTTGGTTTCCCCTGAGATTTCCAGATCACCTGGAGAAACCCTGATTATGCAGACAGGCTAATAATCACATTTCTATGTAAAATCCTCTCTCTCCTTAAACTACCTTGACAGCCTTTCTCAACATGTGGTGAAACAGCTGGCAGCAGCATGCTTGCTCTCCTAGGAAGAAATCAGAGTATGATCTAAAGTGGCATGTGTCACATGAACACTATCTGATTAATCATTTCACATCACTCAATTCTGTATTCTGTAACAGCAGAACCCATTCCCATTATGATAAATTCTCACAAGGGTCTACTCTGTAATTGCATATGAATACTTCTTGGATTTAGTTGTGTGAACTTTGAGTGAACTGACCTAGTCTTTGCTTTCAGCCCCCACAAAAATATCACATAACAAAGCAATGAACAACTCTCAGCTTTATTTCCAGTCCACAAGGGGACTTAAGCATGTTGGTGCCACATTCGTACTCCCCTTACAGAACATGAAAAAGAACACTTGTTAATTGTAGACACTGTAATAGAAGAATGGATTATTAATTTTTATCTACAGAAAATGTTTCAAATCCAGAGCCTAAATGCATTCTAAATACAATATTTTCCCTGAAAGAAAGGGAACCCCTGACTAGATTGTTCAGTCATTAATATTGTTGATATATCATCACTCAAAAAACTCTCTGAGGATCCTTCATCATGTGCTCAGGGGATAAAAAGCTGTATGTTTGAGGACTGCTGCCTGGATACTTGCAGTAAGAATTTAAAATCATAAACAATACATACCTTTGTTCCTGAATGATACTTGTATTTTAGGACATGTAACTCTGATGTAAAGTCAAAAGCTGTGCAGAAACCAGCAGCAAGAAAAGAAAACATGCACTAATGCATGAATAGGTCTGCAGATGGCATAGATAATTTAAAGCCTGATATATTTGCTTCAGGGTGATTAGTGAGATAGATGCTGACTGAACAGTGAGAGATTTTAAATAAGTAACTTCATAAAATTGCTGATAGACATTTTTGTTCACTTTAAGGAACGTGGACACACTCTAGTTCCCATTAGTTTGTTTTAACACAAAGGCAGTCGGAAAGGCTGAGAGGGCTCCTGTAGGTAAGATACAGGAGGTTCTGGTGGGATTTGAATCCAGGCCAGTAAAACTGCATGTAATTCTTAAGCTGAGGGTCTTAACCATCTCTGACAAAGAACGCATGTTGAAGATGCATTAACATATTGGCACATATGTACGACATTCAGAGCAGATGAAGTAGGCCAAGATGGACAGCAACCAATTTAAACCTTCACCTGCTCCTTAGAATTAATTTATTAGCTAGTCAAACATTTAAGAAAGCAAGATATTTTATTTTTTCTTTGCTGAACCTGTGTCTGTACATTAATATATAATTTAATAGAAGTAATACTTAAAAGTCCAGTGTGTAGGATTTAGTGGCATCTAGTGGTGAAGTTGCAGATTGCCACTCCCTCGCTTCACCCTCCTCTCCCAAGTGTGTAGGAGAAACTACAGTGGTAGCGAAGCACGCAAAAAGCAGGTTAGATCTACAGCCAGTATTTGGTTTGTCCATTCTGAGCTACTGTAGAAACATGTCAAGAAGGTGACCTGCAGAGTCTGTAGAAAAAAAAGACTCATTCTAAGGTAACGAAAACACAACAATTCCTATATTCAGGTGATTAAACACCAATGAAAACATACCCATGAATATTATGTTGCATTTCTGCCATAGATCCTCCTAAATCTTACACACTGGACCTTTAAAGGACTTGGATCAGGGTAAGCAGCAGGAGAATAGTGTGGCATTCAGCTCTTTTTACTGCCAGCCGGTCAGTCAGTCAGCCTGCTAGCCTCAGGCCCACATACAGCAGAGCCCACAGCTTATAGGCACAGCTTAGGTGTGGTTGTACATAGAAGTATTTCCTTTAGCTATGGGAGATAAAGAGCCAACTCTGTATGTCCTCAGAGCTCCCCTCTGGTGCTGCACATCACAAACATCTTACAGTAATAGGTTTAAATGCACCTTTCCTCCCGGTCACCACCAAAAGGAATTAATAGGAACAGGCCTATCAGCATCAGCAGTCGTTGTTTAATGCACTGTTAAAACGGCTGTTTGATGAGTGGAGGATTACAGTCAGAGGCTAATGACGGCACTTACTGTAACATGCATGATGGGAGAGTAGAGATCAGATATAGAGAGTGAGCGAGAGAGGCTTCGACAGAGATAAGAGAGGGAGGAGGAAGCCGTGATGAAACAGTAGAAGTAGAGAGCATGTGTGTGTGTGTGCAATAATGTGTGTATACATAATGTAATGGTAATCTACAGTACCATCGCTCTGCTCGCTCTCTGCACTGACACATTTTCTGTTTTTATTTCATGACACAGATAAAATGCAGCAGTTAGGTCTCACTAAAACTTTTAACCTTGCGGATAACTTCGGTTTTATTTGTCGAAAGTTTTGAGTTATCTATCTCTGAGATGTGTTCCTCTAACCCCCACAGTGGAGCTGAATGAGATTTCATTTGTTCAGGTCAAACAGAGAGGGGAACAAATTGAATGGAAACAACAACTCTTTCCAGAAACCTGATGATCGACTACTTTAAAGACTTTGCTGCGATCTTTCA